TCCCGCTCTTGCCTCTGTAGCATCTGTTGCTCTGGCGGTAAAGCCTGCTGTAGAAGCTGCATGTAGAACTCGTTCTCCTTTTGTACTTCCTTCTGTTTCCTCAGTCGCATCTTGTAGCTAACGTAGCTCTTGAAGCCAAAGCCCAGAGTCACCACTGGATAGCCGATACTGGAGAGCGGGGAGAACACAGACAGTAAACATATTGGGATTTGCTTTGTGCTAACATTTTTAAAGCCTCTACTACAGTTCAGTATTCACTGTGTAATAGATTTAAAACACGAGATAGACCGTTAACACACAAAGAAACCATTAAAGTGTAACTTTCAAACAAGGAGGACAGCATAAATTGGTAAAACTATACATGCAACAGTATCGCCCGGTCATGTCAGTCGAACCACAGTGTGCATGATGAGCAAACACAGCACACAAGGATCAATGGGCAGCATTATCAACCCCTAAGAGTTTCAATCTGCTTAAGTTGAATAAAATTGAATTACAGCATCAGTCAGTAAATTGCAACGTTTGCAGTTTGCCAATTGTGTTGTTTTAAATTGCAATTTAAATTCAAAATCAATTTATTGCTCATCCATGTTGCATGTGAACCCTTATTTTTAAGAAATTGCATGAAAAACTCATTTTTAATCATGGATAGTCACTATTTGAAAACAAAACAAACAAACAAACAAAAACAACGACTGATTTTTACCAATGAGCTGCGAATGGGCGACACAGGTCCACATGAAAGTTCTTCAGATCTTTGAACCGTATGGCAGCTTCGATGTACACAAACAGGATCCACAGTGATACAGTGGGTAGACAGACTCCTCTCTCTGCGTGAAAGTAGGAGACAAGAAAAAACAAAAATAAAATCAGCACACTTGGAGCTATGAATTTCTTGTGCACAAAGTCTTTGAGGTGAGTATGGCTGTTTGACTGCTGGGGGAGGGGGAATCCACAGAAAACTGGGGCTAACCTGTGTGCCAGACATACTGGACCCATACGTAGGTGCTGGCAGCAAAAAACAGCCATTGGACGGGGATGAAAAGGAGGCATATAATGTCTGATGTAAACGCCACACATACGAAGAAAACAGAAAACGCCTAGGTGCAGGAGAAAAGAGACACACAATTAAATAATCAATCTTTGCTCCTCCGCACCATTTTCAGTGCGACTTAATACAAGATGGAAGGCGAGAAGGGGCGCAGGGGAAATACAAACAGACTCTTACCAGCCCCTGATATCTGAAGGAGTCGTAGACGCTTCGGATGAAAAGCCAGAAGGGCCACAGGTACTCAAACCTGAACTCCAGCACAAAGTCGGCCAGCAGAACTAACACCCACACCACCAGGAACTTCAGGTACAGGAACGTGCTGTGGAGAGGAGACAGCGTAAACTTGTTAAACACGGACACGTTAGAGGAGATAACGAGGAGCCACTAGACTGGGATTATGGTGGATTTAGATGGTTTAGCAACAAGCATCTGGACATCAGGTTTATGCAACAGTCTGTTATAATTAAGTATGATTCAAGCTATTATGTGTTTTGAGTCTGTATTTTTCCATGATTCCTATGGTTCTTATAATCAATTAAGATTCAAGTTATTATGTATTCTGAGTTTGTATTTTGTGCTGAGCTTATGTCCTTGAAGATAATGTGTCCGGTAAGAACCGGTTTGCACACTTGGAGACAGCAGAAATTCTTCTTTTCTATTAGATACGATTGCTACTTTAGCTACACGCCGTACCAACAACATCCACACATGTTGCTTACTAAATGTCAAGGACGTGGACAGAGCGCAGAAGAAGTATGCCTGTCCACGCCATTGGTAACTGGCCAATTAAACTCGGTAGCGCACAAGTCTTATCTATGTTCGGGGCAGGCCCAGCCCAAGAAGATATCTGGAACCGAAAAATCTCAGTTCAGCTGGACATGAGAGCACTCTCTGTCCCTCTGAATCCAGCGCTGTAAAACTTTACCTGTGACCTGAATAAACTGTTTAACCTGAGACCTGAACTTCTCTCCGACTATTCCTTGGAGCTGTTTCAACAAAAGAACTGGGTCTAACAAGTCTCATGTGTTTATAAGAAGCACGTTTAAATCCAGATTTTAAAGCAGATAAATGCACATTCCTCATGATATTATCTTACCTGTAATGTCAAAGACGCATATAAGACACACGTTTAAGACATCCAAACTAGTTTTGAGGGAGCAAGTATGTATATCAGGTCATGTCTGGACATGTTAGCTACTTAAAGCACAGCTGGTTCCCTTTCTCTGGCTTGCAGGAGAGAGGCTATTGTTTTTTTCATACATTTCTAATAACGTGTAGCTTTGCATGTTCGTGCACTTTGGTGGTAATTATTGCACTGGCTGGTTTAAATTTAGCCCAGTGGCAGACAAAGCACAGGTGAGAAGAAACCCCCATCGACGGACTTCAAAACGAGCGCCCCTGACATTGCTGCTGTCACGTCGAGCTCCAACAATGATTTTTTTTTTCCTCACAACTTCACGCTGTCTGTCTTTCTTTCTTTATTATTATTATTTTTTAGCAAATAATAATAATTAAAAATAAATAAAATAAATATCTGCCGAGTGTAATTTAGACGCAAACCCCGCACAGTAGCATTGACACCAGTCATTTACATTTGAACACAATTTCGGTACCTAGCTGCAGACGAACCGTGAACGAGATGCCCCACTAACGTTAACCCGGGCCTATAATTGTGACAATATACGGGCATGTTCATTCAGCTCCTCATGTAGCTCAAAACCAAAAGCGTGCCTAAATATGAATGTAGCAGCCCCGTCTTGACATATGCAGAGAGGCGCCATTGTTATACAATAACGTCCCTCCAGCCCCTTTTTTGTACCTGCTATATATACCCTCGGTGATTCGGTTCCGTTTTAACGGCCGTCGGAGTTTGCTGCAGTCCGCATTGCGCCGCTTCATCCTCCCCCTGTGGATTCACTTGAGATCTCGGTGCGGTAGCTGGAACTGGGAATGTCATTCGCTCATCCTAATATTCACACTTCTTCAATTATCCACCATTGTTGTTGTTTTATGCACATGAAACAAAGAAATAAATAAAAACAGTCCCGCGGAAGGCCCTCCCCTTTTCACGACACGCTGCGTTGCCTGGCGAGCGTCTGACGTCACGACGCGTCGACGCCGGACCAAACATGGCCGCCCCCTGCTAGCCAGACGCTTCTCTCGGTTTTAGAATTTAAAGATTCGTTTCTGGACGGTAAGTGTGACAATAACATGTTACAGTGGTTTTATTTAGTCTGTATCAGCATAGTTTGTTATGTTGACGCTACTTGGGCGTAAAACAACTGCCTGGGTGCCTTTCTTGACGTGGTAAATGTAGTCCATGCTTACTGAGCCACGTTTGTTTTGGGAGTCTTGTTCGAGATTTTTGCTTCCTCGGCAGAAATGTGTTTTATCTCAAGAGCTTTTAGCAATAAATCGAATATCTTAAAATTTCATTAAAGCACTAGATAGTAGCCACACGTATATTGCGGTGAGTTTTAAATAGCAAAAAGAAAAAACTTCAGCCGGTGTGAGAGTTTAACTGAAAATGTTGGTCGGAGGTGACTGCGTCGATGCCTGTTCAAAACACCGCAAAAGTCAATAAACCGTTTGCAGAATATGGTTATCGTGAGTATTAGCTTAATTTGTGTCACACAGACACGATGGTGGGATCTTGACACATTATGGGCTCAGTCTAGCCAAGCAGTCTGTAGATTTTAACCTAATAGTTTGATTTTAATCGTATTGAATTTGTTTTTGAGAAATTAAATAAAATGTGAGACACTGTGCTCTAGACAAAGTAAGGTAATCCCACTTTCTTTCTATGCTTAACCCATGTACCACAATATTACCACAGTAAAATAGTCTAATTTCTTACTCAGCTAAACTGTTTATTCTGTAGAGGTGTGCTCATGGCAGTAAAATAATATCCCATTGCTTTAAGTAAAAATATCTCATATTATTTTTGAAGGCTTTAACACATGGTTGGAATGCAGAAAAGGATTGATCCAGACCTATTTTTTAACTTTTTTTTTTTTTTAAACTTACGCAGACAGTTAGATCTCGGCACTTAAAACATCCAGGACGAGAGCCTTTGACACTCAGGCCTAAAAACGCCACTGATTCAGATTAAGATTAGTTTATTTGTCATATGCGGGTTAACACACAGTCAACTATGCAATGAAATGTTTTGGACGAGAAGAACCAATCAACTCAGTGTCGCAACAAAAGAAAAACTAAAAACACACTATTAAGACAATGAATTTGTTTACTTGTGCAGGGTACAGAGCTATAAATAAGAATGTAAACACTTGCAGGGTCTAAAGTACATGGTCTCACACATGGTTATTACTCTGATGAGAAGTTGATTTGTTCAGTCTACAAGTAACAAATACAGTTTAGTGTACGTTATTAAAACTCAGCCTGCGTGGAGATTGCGCTAAGCCGTGGCAAAGTGTGATAGTTTACTCTCACATTAATTTGTGACGCAGCCCTACCTGGCCTCAGTCTGCAAGTGAGAGACAGAAACAGCCTAAAGCCATTTTTAGATATAAGATACGAAGCATTGCTGCTTCATCAATCAATCATAGTGATGGCATACTGTCATTCAGAGATAAGTCACTTTTACGTTAATGTTCCTCAGGGCTTTGTTCTGACATTCCCGCAACAGTGACGGAGAGAGAGAGAGACCTCATTTAAAAATGAGGTCACCTAGTAATTTAATGTAATTTTGTCCACAGTTAACAGTAGACTGTTGTGTTGTTTACTTTAAAAATCTGCACTGGTGTGTCACTCACATGAGCGTCACCAGTTAATCAGAAAATCCCACTAAACTACAACACAGGACCCTAAAATGGAAGAGATGAAAACAGTCAAGCTTTAAATTTAGTTATTGTAGAAGTAGTTTAATGCTGTGGTTGCTGCTCGTGTTACATTTGCTGTTCCACTGAGCCTTTATTTTATTTAACAGATGATGTGCAACAAGGACAAAATAGAGAAAATGGTGCCATCTGCTGAGGAAGAGGAGAAGGAGAAGGAAAACACAGTGGAAGAGCGGAAAGAAGAAGCAGAAGAGGGAGGAGAAAAGGAGGCACGAGAAGAAGGAGAAGATAAGGACGAAGGTGAGAAGGATGGAGAAAATGATGAAGAGGAAGGTAGTGGTGATAAAGAAGAGAGAGAAGAAGTAACGCCACAAACCACAGATAAAAAGAATCCATCACCGGTAAAATCTGAAGAGAAGAAGCCATCTGATGTCCTGAACCTCAACAACGAGGTGGTGAAGATGAGGAAGGAGGTGAAGAGGGTGAGGGCTCTGATCATCAGGAAACTGACACGTCAGATTGCTGCTCTGAAGAAGAAGAAGGGGAAGGAGGTGGAAATTGAAAGGAATCAAAGGAGAGCAGCAAGACTGCTGGAGGAGGTCCATGCCATTAAGAACCTCGTACCAGATGTGGTACGTATGTTCTGTTTTCTTCTCTGTAAATCAAAGGAGAAGCATAATTTTTGTAAAACTTTTTAAGTGAAATTGGTAAGAAAACTACTTAGGATTTAGGACCTCTTTTTTTATAAACTGTAAAGCATTTCATTGTAAAGATACAATATTTTTCCATTGGCAGGTAACCAAGACAGCCTTGCAGAAGACTCTCAACTTTGAACAGGTGTGCAAAAACCCCAAGTCTACTATTTCTGATCGGGCCGTTGCACGCGTCGCCACCCACCCTCAGTTCAACAAGAAGATTGAGGACATCAAAGCTGCTGTGAAAGCCTTCAAAGAGGAACGGATGAAGGATGGGAAGCAGGGAGGAAAGGAAAAAGTGCAAAATCAAGCTGGAAAGGCGACTTTGCAGTCACCACACAAAGGGGGACAAACAAGGAATGAGAACGTAGAAGAGGAAGACAATGCAGTGGAGCCAGAGGAAACCATAGACAATGAGGAAGGAGTCAGTGTCCTTGAAGACATTGAAGATGTTGCAAAAGCTGAAAAGGAAATGGAGAAAGAACAGGACTCAACTGGTACTGCTGATGTTCAAATACAAGAGGTGCCAGAGTGTATGAGTGTGAGACCAGCAGCAGTAAAAAGCAGTAATGTAAAGAACATTGTGAAAAATAAACCTCAAAGTAAGGTTGCTGAAAAGAAACCCAATGTTAAGGCTGCCCCTGCATTGCTCCAGAAAACAACAGATGATGAAGAGAGCGACCTGGAGTCGTCAGATGATGAAGAGAAGGAGTACTTTGATGACAGCACAGAGGAACGCTTCCACAAGCAGTCGTCCCAGTCAGAGGAGAGCGACGAGGACGAGGACGACTTCTTTGTAGGGAAAGTGAGCAAATTCAAGAAGAAGAAGAAGAAACAGACATGCATAGAAGGGGAAGAGAAGGCGAACAAGAGACCTACGGTGAAGAATGACTCAACAGATGATGTGAAATCTAAAGACAAGCTCCAGAGCGAGCTGGATGAGCTTGAGTCGAGGCTGAAGTCCAAAGCACCCGGCCTCCAGTCTGCTTTCTGTTCTTCACTGGCTGGGGCTAAGGCTGGTAGGGGTGGAGGCACTGGCAGAGGGAGGGGTGGGGATAAATTTAGAGGCCAAGGCAAACCGAAAGGTGGCTTTGGTTTGAATAGAGATTTTAGTAAGCAATCCAGGTTCCAAAATCAGGACAGAGGTGCAGAAAGTAATTCGGGGTCCAAGTATAGCAAGCCGTGTCCTGAAGACAGACACCCTGAGTCTGAGGCGAAGGGCTTTGCTTCTGCTGGCAGAGGGCGGGGGCGAGGCAGAGGTGATGCTTTCAGGCAAAAGAGTCACAGAGGTGGAGGAGTCTTTGCTCATCAGCCACCACAGCAGGCCCTGCATCCATCCTGGGAGGCCAGTAAGAAAAGGAAGGAACAGCAAGGACAAATCCTGGCCTTCCAGGGGAAGAAGATCAAGTTTGATGATGATGATTGAAGTTGTTTTTGGTTTACCCATCACATACCTATTGTTTGTGTCTCTTATCGGCCACATTTGGATGATTCATGTCATGTTGCACCGGAGGTCGACGCTTTTCGCTGAACCCTAGAGGTGATCTCAGCGTAGTTCATGCTGGGCTCGTACTACAGGAGTTTCACCTAGATGATCCCCATTTCAGTCCTCCCAACAATCAAATCCTTATATTCTGGGATCTATGTAAACTGTTGTTTGGTGCATTAACTGACAATGTGAGGGATTACAGATCCAGTCTGAAACCTCCCAAAGACTCATCGGAGCCTCCCTGATAATATCCAACATGCTTGACATTTAGATGTAAAAATCTGTTATCATTACGTTAACGTAGTCATTACATGAACTTCAAACACTGTTACCAAGCAACACTCAACATTCTAGCCCTCGAGGCTAACTTTAGCTACTGATATTAAAACTAATTGTTGAAATGTGCCCCGGTTCTCATTGAAGAATAGACAAACTGTGTTGACAGCGATTTACAAACTCTGCTCTCTTCCAGACTTCTTTGGCTTTCTGCTTCTGTTTTTCTCGCTGCAAAGTATTGTTAGCGTTACAGCTAGCTGTTGCTTTATTTTGTTTCCATGTGCTTTTCCAGGAGATCACGTGAGATGGCATACTGCTCCCTTATTGCTCCCTCTGTCACGATTATCTTGAAGTGTTTGATGCACCATTATTTTCAAACCCTGTCGTGTGTGCACATCTAAAAATTTAAAAAAATAAAATAAATCTGTGAAATTTCTTATTATGTGTTGGATGCAACCTGAATTCAGAATCTGGTAGGATTTTAGAACTCCTGTAGTGTGAGCCTGGCCTCGGGTGTACTGCAACGTGTAAACTGCTTTTTCATCCCCGGTACAAGACACCAAACCCTGATTTTTTTATTTTATTTTTTTTTGCATAAAGTTGCTAGACATGTGTTGTTAAAATGTCACTTCCAAATATGAATCTAAGGAACAAGTCATTTGTAAAGATGTACTATAGTGATGTTGCAAATTTGTCAGTGGTGATTTGGGAAGCATTGTTTTTGTAGTGTTATACCCCATGTATCTCCATGATTCCAATGATGGTAAATATGGTTTTGTTGCTTTGTATTCTCTGTGAAACATACATACACACATCCAGTGCGGCTAAACTGTAACTTAAAAGTTTTCTTGTTTATGGTCTCTCATATTTAGATGTTTTAATAATATTAAGTTTATATGTACAGATGCAGAATATGTTGTTCTTTGCTGCCTTATTTTCCAAAAAGTTATTATTGCATCGCTTGCAAATGGTATTTAAATGAAGTAACAGTGAATTACTTCCTAATAAAAAGTAGAATCAACTCTGTGGCAGAGCTCTACAGCCATTGGTCAGTTTACAGCTACGTCAGACGCACATGGCGTCGCGTGCGCAGTGACAGCCAATAGGAGTTTACATGCAAATGTGGTTTGAAGCTGTCCCGGGAAATCTGTGTTTCCCGCGTAGATCGTCTTCTCCTCAGAATCTGAAACGATGTTGTCGTTTGCGTTGTTACAGACAGAATTTTAATTCAGCGGATGATACGGGCGCGTTAGACACCGTGAAGTCGGTAGAAAGTCGAAGTTGGCAGAATGACGGCCGTCACTACTCGACGCGATGAGAACGGAGGTTTCCTCGCTCCGTGGACGTGGGGAGTGTCCAGACCGTGCCGACTCACATCCCTCCGTCCTGTCTGGGAAACACCGTGACGGTGAAAGTCCGGTTCTCCGAGATGACTGACGGTCTGTAGTAACGGAACCTCAGCACCCGGAACACGATCTGAGCTGGACCGAGCCCACGTATGTTAAATGAACCAATATTTATACTGAATATAAATACAATACTCGTGAGTCTGAATGTTTACCAGCTAGTCGAGCTTAAACCACCTCCATATGTGTGTAGTTACGTGAACGTTACAGTTTATTTACACATGTCGTCCATGTTGCTGCTTTGACTGAACAGACGCTTCTGGATGAGCCTGATGTTCATTTCACCAGCTGCTCCCTCCTGATGGATCAAACTTATAAAACTCTATTCTGTATTTTGTCACCGATGTTTGTGGCGTTTTGTCTAATGAGCCACCGCACCGATTCTAACTCGAGGTACAACCGTAGTACAGCCGTAGCCAAGCGCACGGTAATTAGTCTGGGTAATGACGGAAGCTCTCGGTGTTTCTTCAGAATAAGGCCATGGCAAGAATAGAATAGAATGCCTTTATTGTCACTATACACATGTACAATGAGATTAAGAGCAGCTCCTTCAGTGCAATATAGAATAAAGAACAAAATAAAGAGCAAAAAAATAGAAGAGATTTAAATATAAAATAAGATAAGTTATATATACAGTATCGAGTATAAGTTAAAACGTAACTAATGGATTGTATGATTGCTTTTGTTTATTATTCTTGGAGTCCATTTATCTGTTGATAATTTTATCGATTAATTCATTAGTTGTCTATAAAATTGTCGCCAAATTTGATTCGAATGCGCAAGATGACATCCTTAAACGTCTTATTTTTTTCACAAGCCAAAGATATCTAGGTAACCGCTATTAAGATCTAAAGACAAAGAAAGTGTTTTAGATCTAAAAAGGTGGAATCCAGTGGTGCTATTTATTTAAATTAATCTTTATGTAATTGACAATACTCTGCTCAGTACAGAAGTTGAGCTGATCACCTCCAGGCAGCAGATCTGCTCTGAGTATTATTTATTTGGGGGATTTGTCTTCAAGTACTTTTAGGCCAATACAGTTTAAGAACCGCTGCTATACCCTGCACTCACTGTGATATTAATGTGGAATACGGGCTGCTTTGATCACAGTGTCTCACGTTTAGCTTGCTTATAATTTAACCATGCTTCTGTGAAAATGGACAAAAGCGTATACTTTTTTTCTGCTCTTATTGTGAAAGTGAACCGCGACTCTTCGGCCACATCCGGGTATCTCTCCGGTCACTTTACGTGCGTGTGTTACCTTGAGCCCAGGCATCACACCGCGCCTTGTCGGTCCACACTTTTGTACATTCTGTTCCTCGGTTGTGTTCCGTGACGGCGGACGGTCACGGAGGAGTTCCTGCGTGTATCCATCGGTGAGAGGTGACCGTGAGCCGCTCATTACTGCCGGCAGCGAACTACTGCTGAGGCCTCGGGTGAGCATGAGAGGGGGATGGGGAGTGTTGCTCCAACTAGCTAAACACACTGCTGAGGGAAGCTAGCTGCTGCTCCAACCCCCTCAGTCAACGACAAGCCTCCCAAACGACAAGCAGCCGAAGGAGACATGATGTTATTTCATGCAGAGACACGTTCACTGCTTCTGGTTAAATACAGTTGAAGTTACAAGTGAATGCAATGGAGTCCTGACAAGTTTATACTGTATTATTGATCAAAATGGCTGCCCAGGAAGAAACTAAGGCAAACTAAAAGTCTTAAACTGCATAGTAATGTAATGATAAGACATTTTAGATGTGCCTGCTGCTTTCTAACAAGTTGTGCTTAAATGCTTCTCCTCAGGCAAAGAGAAGGCTGGAGCTGGAGGCTGGTGATCTGCTGGACCCTCAGGATGGTGGCAGGACCACCAAAGACAAGAAGCCCATGGCCTCTGTGACCCACACAGGAGGAAAACGTAAGGCTTGGTAGTCTGATGATTTCCAGGAGACAGATCTGGTAAAAATGTTCTCAAGTCATCTTAGGGCGCTTCACAATGTACAGTTAGGACCAGGCAGTATTATAATACAGAGAGAAACACAACAAATCCAATAATTCCCTTTGAGCAAACATTTGGTGATAGTGGGGGGAAAAAAAACACTCTTATCAGGAAGAAACAGAACCAGGCTCAGGGAGGGCAGTTGTCTGCCTCCACCAGCTGGGGTGAGGGTGAAAGGGAGAGAACAGGATAGCAGATAGAAAACAGAAAGCTCAGTGTATCCTGGTAGGTTGTCCATTACTGATGTATGGGGTCACTTGTGTCAACCTTGTCTATTAATTTGATCATAGAGGAAAGTTTTTAGTCTCAGGAGGTTCCGCCTCCTGAATTCAAACTCGGAGGAGCCTGATAAGTGTAGGGTCTGCCTCTCGTTTTACGTTTGGAAACTTCAGGAGCCGCAAGTAAGCCTGCAGTCGGAGAGCAAAGTGTTCTGGTGGGATAATATGGTTCTATTAACCTCGACGTTAAGAACTTTGGACGTATGTACTGGGAGCTGTCTGGCTTAAGAAATTTTGTCTGCAGCATTTTGCATCAGCTGGAGGTATTTCAGAGATTGTTTGGGATATCCTGACAATAAGGAGTCACAGTAGTCCAGTCTTCAAGTAACAAGTTCATAGACTAGTTTTTCAGCATCACTCTGAGACAAGATGTTCCTGATTTTGACAACATTACGCAGATGAAAGAAGGCCGTCCTGCCCTGATCAGAAACCTCCAAGGTTCCTCACAGTAGAACTGGAGGCCGAGTCATTGGCATCCAGCGTATCTATCTGATTAGATAGTGTGAGGTGCTTAACCCTCGTATTGCCTTCAAATTCACTGACATCTTTTATCTTTGGGTTCAATTTGACCCCAGCAACTTACACCTCCAGAAAATATCATAATTGAAATTGTTGCCCAAGTGTACGTGTAAATAGCCCTTTAAATGAAACAAAAAAAAAACCAATCTGTCAATGACTTACTTAGAGATGTTAAACATTGAATGGGGTCAAATTGACCCCAATGAGATAATAGGATCAATACAATAACTCCAGCTGTGTCTGAATTATTATGTCTTCATGTGAAGACATGCTTGGAATTATATTAACTGATGGTTTCCTCTGACTTCACAGATAAATGTAACTGGATATTTACATAGCAATGGGAATTTGTGCTGCGGTTCTTGATAATGTCGCCGAAGGAAAGCATGTATAAGGTGACAAGTGTCCCTGTGGAGAGGGATCTCTATAACTTTTGTGTTTGTGGGGAAAAACACAGCTCACACAGACAAACTGGAATCTATCTGACAAATATGATTCAATTCAGTCCAGTGCGGTTCCTTCCAATAAAACTGGTCGCTCTGCTACAGTTTGTGGTGTGACCCCAGTGACTGGTCATATGTTTAGTTTTGACAGCGTGTAACCAAATGATATGAAGTCAAGTTAAACTGACACATATTATGAAACGTGCTGTATTTTTAAGGCCTTAGTGAGCAGATTTGTGTTCTCCAGTGAATCCAGCAGCTCATCATTTCCTTGATTCTTTGTGCGCTCTCCGTTGCTCTTAGCGGTAGTGAGAAGTGGTGCTGTTTTGTCATAGACCCTGGCTTCACCAAGAACTGTTGTTTCTTTCTGTCTCTGTGGAGACCTGTGTTATCTGTGAAACGTTTGTCTCAGTTGATGGGTTGCAAAATTGTGCTTCTGCTATTCATTTTTATAACTCGTCCTAATGTTTATCTTTCAGACTGTTTGCTGCCACACGTCAGTTTGATCTCACACTATCCCTGAGCAGAACTTAGACTCAAAACTACGTCATTATCTCCTTTAAAACACTCAGTATCCAATTTAAAATGACTGACTGCCCTACCCACTCCCTGTTTTGCCTAATAACAACAAAAGAATGCCAAATGTTGGAAGCAATCAAATCCTGATGAGCGGTGTATAACATTGCCTATTAGAATAGATGCTAGAAACATGAACACATCTTCACAGATTCTCCATCCCAACTTGTTTTTCAGCTCCTGCCCCCAATCCCGTAGCACGCAAGTCACTTTTCGAGAGGTCGCGCTGTGACACCTCACTGGGTTTGCTGACGCAGGGGTTCGCAGAGCTGCTGAACCGCTCCGCTGACGGAGTGTTGGACCTAAACGTCGTCGCCCGGGAGCTCAACGCCCCGAAGAGACGCGTCTACGATGTCACCAACGTCCTGGAGGGGGTCAAGCTCCTCAGAAAGAAGTCTAAGAACACCATCCAGTGGTTGTGAGTATACGTGGGGCAATCTATACACACAAAAGTTATATACTGAAGAAGACTGGCAGCCCTGAAGTTAAGAGCAGCAGTTTATTTTCTTTAAACGTGATCGTAGCTGCTGATGGATACGGAGCACCCTGTCTCAGCCGCGAGCTCTCAGTTTGCGCTTCCAACACGATTGTTATTCTCAGTTTGAAGTTTTCTCAGGTTTGATCTCATGCTGGATGTCCCGTGTGATGTTTGTTTTGCCGCTGACCCTGTTCTGCTCGGACACGTGTGCACAGGGGCGGACAGATGGCCGGCACTGCAGATCAAGAGCTGAACAGTCTCACCGAGGAGGAGAAGTACCTGGACGAGCTGATTCAGTGTTGTACCCGGCAGATCCACCAGCTGTGCGAGGACCGCTGCAGCCAGAGATATCCTTCACTTGTACATTCATTTTACACATTATTGTTGTCTGCCACCAAACAGTTACTTTTCGGTCAGATTTGTTGAGGTCGTGTAAGAATTAAACACAGTTGGGGCGAAAGTGTTCATGTCGACTCCACATCAGCAGGGAGTTTAGTTCATGCCTGCCGATCTTTAGGCCAACACATCAGATATGTTTAAGTTTTTGGTAAATGTATCAAACCACACTGACCCTCAAAGATGTTCGGCTCACGTTAGCGCTATAGTGCTGTATTTGACAGACAATCCAAACATTCAACCTGCATCATTAGCCGGAAATCTTACTGTAAGGCCAGTGCTATGCTTTGCACATTTGGCAATATGAGGAGTCCAAGTGACATCATTTTTAAAAAAAATATGTTCAAATCTGTGAATCTGCACGATGTCTGTATGCAGTCTACTGACCGAGCAGCAGTAGTGTGCATGTGTAAATACATAGACAGCGATCTACCATACATGTATTTAACAGCGTCCTCCTAACAGACTTCAGATAAACTAGAAAATGGTATAATTACAACAACTGCCTGCATGCAGGGAGCAGATCCGTGGCTTCACAGTTAAGCATTCAGCTGCTCATGCACCATCAAAACTATATAGAGGTAGCACAAATAATGCTATCATTAATTATAATTCATAGTGCTATAACTGTTAGAATCTCAAGATAAAATAAACGTATACTAAGAAAAGAGTGACATGTTCCAAATTCAATTGACCAGTTTTAGATTTCAGAGCTGCCCAAAGAAATGCTGCCTTTCTGTCTTTTTTGCCAGCCCTGATGACACAGACATCTTGTTTGAATAAGCTTTATTGGATCTTCCACTGGAACCATAATCACACAGAGCGTCGTCATTATGTTCAGTGTAAGCTCCACATGGACGGCAGAGCAATGGCAAGTTCTGCACACGCGGAATCCCGGATTACAGTGTTCAGTGTGAATTAACACATTGTGCGAGATTAATAAAAATCTCACCGTATCTGCCCGCTTTAAAGACTAACCCTACTCGCATGCAATAACTGGCAGCGAACAAGTGGTGCGCTGCCAGAAATATTCTAAATAAAACTTGCACCCTAGAATTTAGAAACAGACTGTAACTGTTTGGGTCACTGGGTGTTCTGTAACAAGGAACCTAGTGAATGAGTTCATGGACCTTTCCGCCCGTCGATGACATGCATTAGTACCTACCTGTCTACATTTTTACACATACAGAGTCTGTTTTAAAGCTTTTCTTGCATATTTCATCTCTTCCATACCCTTCAGATCAAACATATCTCAAAGTCTGAATATGTTTTGTACTTGGGAGGTACTTGTGGAGAGCTCAGTCAAGGTCCCCGTCTTCCCTATTAGCACTCCACTTACTCTCAAAGCAGTAGTGAGTCGAGATGGATTTTTTTTTAAAGTTTACATTTGGTCTGCGGCAGGTTTGTGCTGCTTGTGGTGTGAATTTTTTTGATTATTTATTGACTGCATCCCGAGCAACACAAGCAAACATCGGCCTGTGGTTATTATCTTCCTTGACCCTGCGGCTCACGTATGCGTATTTGACTTACGAGGACGTCCATAAGATCAACAGTTTAAAAGAACAGACTGTGATCGTGATCAAAGCTCCCGCAGAGACTAAACTTGAGGTGCCGCATCCAGAGGAGGTACGTTTCTCAACATCTTGTCAAAACGGAGTTACTTCTTTGATACCCGATCTCATGAAACTGATTTCCGGGCATGTCTGCTTAGAGCCTCCAGGTCCACCTCAGGAGCACCCAGGGGCCCATTGAAGTGTTCCTCTGCTCCGATGACCCCGTCCCTATGGAAGTCATGGACAGCTCGGCGGCCAGTGATGCAAACGGCAGCCACTTAAACTGGACCACCAGTGGGATCGGCTCAGTCCCGGGTTCAGCTTTATCGTCCTTCACTCCAGTGTCTTCCAAAGGTGAGCCTTGTGCATAAGGGTCATATGACTTGTTAGCAAAGGTTAGTGCTACTGTGTGGCCACAGAGAAGTGGGCGAATACCCCGCCTATATTCCTTCTGCCTACACAGGAAACATATAACATACAGTATTCAGTTCAGAGCCTGCTTAGAGATTATTGGCTTCATTTTGCTGTAGGTTTTCAATCCTTTATCGCTCATCTGTTTTCTTTCCCCGTGTCTCCTTATCCACACCCTCATTATCTTTTCAGACGTCGCTAACAATAGTTGCGGAATCAATAATTCCTCCAAACCGCTGCCTGAGCAGACACAGCACTCCTCACCGGTTACTTTCACTTCGGTTTCCCCCACACTCACCTCACCCTCCTCTGAAGACCAGCACAGTTTTGTCACCCTCACTCCATCTCTGGCCCTCTCTCCTGACGGGGAGCAATACCTCCTGAGCCTGGCGGAGGACGTGGGCATCACTGACCTCTTTTCTTCTGTCGACTTGGACCAATCGCCAGTGGATATGCCCCTTGTCTGAGCAGCTTTTTTTTTGGAAATACAGTAATTTTAAAAGAAATCTTCACACAAAATAGGATACCGGGGAGATACAGTACAAAAGAACTAAGGGCTGACTTGAATGGGAGTTGTTTTTTTTGTTTTTTTTCTATATTTGCATTTGCCTTACCGGGATTTACGGACTCCAAGGAATGCGGAGGAAGTTGTAGCTTGGAAGCGTCAAATCGGAGCTGTCTTGGAGTTGGCATGTAATTCCAGTCCAAGCCAGTCTTCTTATGGCCTCGTTTTTTTTTTTTCTCTTTTGGACTGGGGCTGATGTGTGCTGTTGGATGAAGCATTTTGATTCAGACCTTTAATGTGTTACATGTCTGAGAGACCTTATTGAGTATCTCTATCCAAAGTATTAACACAAGACTGAATCATAACCCGGTGGTGTTGTTTCAGTTATGGGATGATGCGGATCACTTTTGTACTTCGATCAGGAAGCTACCATTCAACGTAGTAGCACAGAGCCGGAAGAGTAAACATTTAAAGGTGTTCATTAAAGGCTTGTCAAGAGTCGTCCACCAGACTTTTGCTGCTCGTGTTGGACTTTTGGGATGCGGATGTGACGTTTGTGCATGACTGTATGGTTACTAATGCTGTGGTTTATTGCTGATTTGTAGTTTTGTATCTTAGTTTCCCACTCAGCTGTTCCAAGATACAGAATCATATTCTGAGCCTCCTTCCAGAGAGTTAGTTGCTCATCACCTTGAACTGATATGCAAATAACCCACATGTCTTGTGTTGCCACTCCTACGAGGAATGCACCAATCCCAAGTTTTTTCCATTCCTGGCACCAATTCCAATACCTCAACTCGGTGTGTTGCCTGATACTGAGTACCGATCCGATACCCAGTGTTTCTTCAGATGTACGTCACGGTGTGGAATTCATTGGAATCATCTTCATGTAAAGTTACCCAAAGTGGTGGAATAATGGTGGAATAAATGGAACAGTTAATGGGTACACCTTGTTTTATAACAAAGACACTGTTGCTCACGTCAGGGGCCAATGACCATTAGGATACACAAAAGTGTTGGATTGGTGCATTCCTGTCTGCTACCTAAGTCAAATTACAGCTCGGTCTCCATCTGAACCTGTGTGCTTTATAGTTTCCTCAGGGCTCTAGTAAGTTTCACTAGAGGTGCAATTTTATATATTAAAGCCTGATTCATACACAATATTTACGGTGTTCCCTAAAGTTTGTTTGTACCAGAACATTTTGTGAATATTAGAAATCTGTCTGGCAGCGATTCCAAACTCCTCAACCACTCATTTGGTCACGTACAAATGTAGTGTGTCTCCCCTCTAGTAGCTGTGAGAGATGCCATCGTCTACTGATGACACACATTTACTCACCTTTTTGCCGCGCTGACGGACGTGCTGCTCTTCCATTTTAAAACATGGCCGACATTGCAGAGAAATCTCAGGCATGACAACCCACGTTACGTCTTTATTAGCAGACACTCCAGGTCGGATAGTTTGCAGGTCCTGGTGATGGATGGTGGCTCGCCGTCGTAGAGATACAGATGGAACTGAACCATTGTTGATGGAGTTGGATCGACCTGTGCTTTTTCTGCGGTTTCAAGTCTAAATGCTTCCAAAGAGAAGGTCTGCATTGAGCGTGTGGAAACAACTGTGTCATCAAACTGTGAGAACATAAGGGCTTCTGAGGATGATTTGATTGACTCATTTGCTTTCTTTCCACATCTACTTAAGCATCTCTTCTGAGCTCCCATTAATGTTTGGCCAGAGTTTTGAATGCTGCTGTTGGAGGTAAGCTTTGATCACTGAAGCAGTTGCAGCCACGAGGCAGACTTTCTTACTATTTTTTTGTCAAAATTGAGCTTAGACAATACTATACCCAAGTTGCAACTACCATCAAGTGAAAAGAGCCAAACCCACATGAGGCACTGTACAGCTAACTGTTGAAAGAGTAGCTTCATTTATGCCAGTACGTCCTTCTTTAACCCTGTAGTCTGTCTAGAAAATGAAGGATGGATGGAGCTATGCATAGATATGTATAAAAAAGGCTAGATGTCTCGTCCGCGCTGCCGGTCAATGGAATCGCACGGCCACATTGGCGGCCATCTTGGTACGGTCCACTCGCTCACCCACAACATTGTGTTGTAGAGGGGCATGTACTTTTTAAATAACGATCACTTGCTCAGTTTGTTTTTACCGATTTCTGGTTTGGTTTGTTCTAAACGTCAGAGGTGTAGTTATGTTAGACTCTCACGGCCAGCAACAATTAGTATTTTAATTATTTTGTATTTTATTTGTGTTTTTGTAATTTGAATTGTAGCCACGTTGACAACGTTTGTAAGAAACCAAACCATTTGTAAACCCATCAGGATTTCAGCGAGATAAGAGTATTTGCGTTTGTGCAGATCACTCACCTTCCTTCACGTACCACAGGTTCCTCCAGAGAGCTTGCCCGTATCAAGATGGCGGAAGGGTGATGCCGTTCGAAACGCCGCCTAAAGACATCTAGCCTTTATTATACATATCTATGGTTCTTAGAAGTAGCATGTCTGTGGTCGAAGTAGCAGGAGTGAATGTTGCTGTGACGACAAATACATTTTAGCATTCTTCAAAAGTCTAATCTGACCTCTGTTCGTTCTTTCTTTCGTTCTTTCTTTCCGACTTGACAACCACTTTGTGTTACTTGTACCATCCACCGAATGTGTCCGTTATGCACATTTACACCCAGAAGGGCTAAATGACTATGTAAACTCAATGTCGCATTTCTGGTGGAAGTCCGTGTTGTATGAAATAGAAATAAAAGGAGACATGCCTGATTTGAAGAGCTTATGCGCATGTTTACTTGTTGCTCGTTCCTAGTTTCACAGGGCTTTCTATGAAGTGGTCAATGTTGAGGCTTAAAGAAAAGTTTTTTTTTTTTTTGCAGTTTGCATCTTGTATGGAAATCAAGTTAAAGGTGGACTAAAGCATTCGTGAGAAAGTTTGACACAACCCTCCCTTCGGTGCTCCCGAAACACGATCACGAACGAGCATTGTTACACCAATGAGGTGAACAACCGGGCGAGCTGACTGAAACAGGAATATTCCATCACTTCTACGGTCCCTTTCTCGTAGCTGCGGTGGAACAAACAAATATGAAACATCATCAAATGAATGATATGCAATCGCAAATACACGGCAAACAGAGTAAAAACTAGTAAGAGTAAGTTGTTTACATTGATTTTACTGGCTGAGAGAAACCATAGAGCTGCAGACTCCATCATGTCCCTGGAGTAGCCAAAGCCAGGCCCCCCCGAGGCCACCTGCTGCTGCTGCTGCGAAGAGGAGCTCGGGGCCACAATCGGCTCGTAACACCGGTGGAGGATGGGAGCTTGTATCTGTGAGCGAAGAAACAGAGCCTGGTGAAAGCAGCTCCAGATTTCCCCCTCAGTGAAAGGGGAAGAGTGGTTGCTGCTGCCTGTGAAATGAGGAAGAGCAGGTTTTAAAAAAACAAGCGTCCTGTGCTCAAGTGTTAGTTCTACATAGTTTTGTGTGAATCGGTCTGAACCACGGCTGTGCACAGAGCGGACAGCGAGCAGACTGAGGAGAATGAGGAATTAGAATGACTTACTCCACCTTTAGTACCTGCTAATTCTTCACAGATTAGTCTTGAAGTTGCAGTGCAAACATCGATCTATATATTTTTTTTTTACCTCTTACAGCAACTTTTCTTGCCGTCTCTCTAACACACTGGCATTAATGTAGTAGTTGACCATGCTACGTTGACCTCAGCATTGAAATACTGCTTGAGCAGCTGCTATTTGCACCTCTTCCTCCCCCTCCGAGCGCAAAAAAACCTTCTACATTGAGCCGTTTGTAGCCTTCAGTCTACCCTTAAGGTCGCCGTTTTGTCTGATGAGGAGAAGTTTGATCAATATGTGAAAAAAAAGTTGAATAAAACATGTTCAGTGACTTTAACTATCTGAAGGTGATTTCAGGTTGTGGAGTAACTTTGCCAACTTTTTTTGCAATTTTACCTTTTTACATTCTGAAATGAAATCATTACAAATATCCTTCAAAAGTGAGGTGATTCAAGTTAGCATGGTTTGATAGTGATAATAAATTATTCCACCCAGCAAAGGAAATGTTCTAATCTTATATCGTAGAGCTGCAACGTTAACCGCCAACTATTTTGATAAACAACTGATTTGAGTATTTTTTTTTTAAAGTAGAAATATCAAAATTATCCTCCTCCAGCTTCTTAAATGTGAGTATTTTCTATTTTCTTTTCTCTAACAAAAGTAAGCTGAATATTTTGGCTGTGGAAAAAAAAATAAGACGCTTGAAGACATCCTCTTCGGTTTTCAGAGACATTGATTAACATTTTTTATAATTTTCTGACACTTTGCAGACTGAACAACTAACTGATTCATCGAGAAATAATAGACAGTTTAATGGAAAACTAAAATAACGATTAGTTGCCGCCCTGTCAGACAGTGAACAAGCAAATTTATTTAAAGTAAATTGAATAGTTTTTCATTTTATGTGAACTTAACGTAGTTTCTCTTGTACCGCATTTTCTGGAAATAAATAAATTGGTAATAGTACTGGATATTTTTTGTTAAATGACTGATACCTTTGCGCATTTAAAAAAAAAAGGTCAAATCAAGTTTTGATAGTGATAGTTTATACAGTTGTACTCAAATTTATTCATGTCCTCTAATTAAAGAAGGAAAAAAACAGTGGTCACTCAAGTAAGTTGAAATTGATCAAAGTAACACAAAAAAAAAAAGAAAATCATGACATTGCTTTTGAATTGTGGTTCAACAGAAATAACAAGCATGATGGGACCCATAAACTAATATTTTGTTGAACAACCCTTTGAGCCAATCACTGCCATCAAGTGTTTTCTGTAACTCTCAGACTTCTGCACCTGTTGACAGGTGTTTAGATTTCGGCCCACTGCTCATCAGCAAAGTGCTCTAATTTGTCCGGGACGGTTTTGCTTGTTTTTTTTAATTATTGTTTCCAACCACAATTCAAAAGCAATGTCTGATTTCACTAAATTATAATTTAGCAAATTTTTACGATTATTGCTTTTTTCAGTTTCTAATTATTTGAGTGACTTTTGTGAATTTTGCCTTTTCTTTAATGGAAGGGTATGAATACATCTGAGGACGACTGTACATGCTGGAAATACAGATTTTCTTGGATTCGTTTGTTGTGACAGTGTTGGTTTACCATCCATCCATCATCTATGTACCGCTTATTCCTCACTAGGGTCATGGGGGGCTGGAGTCTATCCCAGTTGAGTCAAGGTGAAGGCAGGGGACACCCTGGACAGGTCACCAGTCTATCACAGGGCTACACTTAGAGACAGACGACCAAGCACACTCACATTCACACCTACGGACAATTTAGAATCACCAGTTAACCTCAACATGTTTCTGGACTGCTGCAGGGTGGCACAGTTGGTTAGCACTGTTGCCTCGCAGCAAGAAGGTCGCTGGTTCACATCCCGGTGGGGGCACCGGAATCTTTCTGCGTGGAGTTTGCATGTTCTCCCCGTGCAGTGTGGGTTCTCTCCGGGTTCTCCGGCTTCCTCCCACACAGTCCAAAAACATGTTGAGGTTAATTGGTGATTCTAAATTGTCTGTAGGTGTGAATGTGAGTGTGCTTGGTTGTCTGTCTCTAAGTGTGGCCCTGTGATAGACTGGTGACCTGTCCAGGGTGTCCCCTGCCTTCACCCTAAGTCAGCTGGGATAGACTCCAGCCCCCCATGACCCTCGTGAGGATTAAGCGGTGTATAGATAATGGATGGATGGATGTTTTTGGACTGTGGGAGGAAGCTGGAGAACACAGAGAGAACCCACGCTGCACGGGGAGAACATGCAAACTCCACACAGAAAGATCCCGGGTGTCCTCGCCGGGACGTGAACCGGTGACTGTCTAGCTGTGAGGCAATGGTGCTAACCACTGCCCCACCTTGCAGCCCCAGTGTTGGTTTACCTTCACATAAAAATCTTAAATCAACCCAGAAAAGTTTAGCTCGCTCTCTATTCTTTTTGTCTGGATTGATAAGTGACAGTAGAAAGAGAGAGGGGGGGATTACATGCAGTTAAAGGTCAGGGCCGGCCTGGATTCGAACTGGGGCTTCTCTGCTTGAAAACATTTACGCCTGTGGGGTCTGCGCTTCTTCACTCAGCTCACTAGTTGTCC